TGATCACTAGGATACCAAATACGGTAACAATCCACAAACTATGAAACCATTAGATGTAAAGTGGATTGATGATATGAGCAATGGTCGCTATCAACAAATATGATGGAAGCAATCCTGTACAATCAACTGCAATAACATTATTGATATGTTTTAACTATTATTATCTACGTGTCTCTGTAAATGATTACTTAAACACGTTTTAAAAACACTTTTTGTGGTATCTCCTATGTTAACATCAACAAGAATGATATAAAACTTCAGTAGTATTTTGCAATCTCTTACAAATTTTATTGCTGATTAGAACAATTTTTTACAACATTAATTGTTTTTATAAAGTTTGTTTTTTAACCAAAATATTAAAGCAAAAGAAGTTTCTCTTAGAAATAAAAATTACTTTTCTTTTGTTCTATTAATTTTTTTTGAGGTATCTACTTTTCACAATTTTCATCTATCCTTAAAAATGTTGAAAGTTTTTTTTCGAAAATAACAATCTTCAGAGTGATAAAACTTTTGCAACAAAAATGTTTTTAATCTGACAAATATTAATTACTTGTGTGGCATTTTATGAAAACAAAACTTTTACAACAGTTTATAATAGCTAATTTCAAGCTGATGTTAAACAAAGTTTATTCAAGTTTAATTCATGGTTGAGTACCATAGCATGTTACAGATGAGAGATGAACAAACTTTTGAATTTGTCTTGTGAATTACCACCCTAAGTACAGACTATAAAACCCAATTACAACAGCCTGTAGTAACTACAGCAGCCTCTACTCTAGTCATCCTTTCACTTTTTTTCTTCAGTTACCCTCAATTAAACTGGATGTGTTGGACAGGTGTAATGACATTTCTTGAGTTTTAAATTAATTTTCTTGACTTTGTTGACAATTTCCAAAAGATGTTTTTGTTATCTGAATTAAAAGCAAACTGACTTTAAGCCAAATTGCAACGTTATTCAAACTTTTTGTTTGTGTTTAAAGTAACGGTTTCCAACCTAATCACCCTTCTACCAACAGGACATGAAGAACGTATTGCAGAAAAGACAACAAATCCTAAGCCACATGAAGAAGTTCTTCAACATCAGAGAACAACCAAGTCCTGCTGTTTTCTTACAGGATAGGACAGAAATAACACTTACAATGAATGATTCAGAATCAATCACAGGTGTGTCATAGTGATGACTGACTCAATCACAGGTGTGTTATAGTGATGACAGACTCAATTACAGGAGTGTCATAGTGATGACTGACTCAACCACAGGTGTGTTATAGTGATGACAGACTCAATCACAGGTGTGTCATAGTGATGACAGAGTCAATCACAAGTGTGTCATAGTGATGACAGACTTAATCATAGGTGTGTCATAGTGATGACCGCCTCAATCACAGGTGTGTCAGTGATGACAGACTCAATCATAGGTGTGTCATAGTGATGACCGACTCAATCACAGGTGTGTCATAGTGATGACAGACTCAATCACAGGTGTGTCAGTGATGACAGACTCAATCACAGGTGTGTCATAGTGATGACCGACTCAATCACAGGTGTGTCATAGTGATGAGAGACTCAATCACAGGTGTGTCATAGTGATGACAGACTCAATCACAGGTGTGTAATAGTGATGACAGACTCAAACTCAGGTGTGTCATAGTGATGGCCGCCTCAATCACAGGTGTGTCATAGTGATGACTGACTCAATCACAGGTGTGTTATAGTGATGACTGACTCAACCACAGGTGTGTCATAGTGATGACAGACTCAACCACAGGTGTGTCATAGTGATGACTGACTCAATCACAGGTGTGTTATAGTGATGACTGACTCAACCACAGGTGTGTCATAGTGATGATTGACTCAATCACAGGTGTGTTATAGTGATGACTGACTCAATCACAGGTGTGTTATAGTGATGACAGACTCAATCACAGGTGTGTCATAGTGATGACCGACTCAATCACAGGTGTGTCAGTGATGACAGACTCAATCACAGGTGTGTCATAGTGATGAGAGACTCAATCACAGGTGTGTCATAGTGATGACCGACTCAATCACAGGTGTGTCATAGTGATGGCAGACATAGTGATGACAGACTCAACCACAGGTGTGTCATAGTGATGACTGACTCAATCACAGGTGTGTTATAGTGATGACTGACTCAATCACAGGTGTGTTATAGTGATGACTGACTCAACCCCAGGTGTCACATTGCTGTGACTGAAACAACAAAATGTGTAAAAATGGCAAGTCACATAACAGATGTCATAGTGATGACTCAATCACAGCTAAGTTACCAATGACTCAGCCAGGGGTGTGTCACACTGTGACATTTCCAGTCACATGAAACTGACTCAGCCAGGAGTGTCTCACACCATGACCCTTCCAGTCATATGAATCAAGTCAATATTATGTGATCCAGTAACTTGTTAGGGATGTATCAAAACAAAAAAAGAACTTTCATCACAATCAACAGATCATTGAACTGATGTAAAAGTCAAGACAGTGGCAAATGGAATCACAGATTTGTCCCTTGTGTAATAACAGACTTGGATTTAATGCTCTATTCACACTTTAACAGGTAGAGGTCTACCCTTCCATACTCCCACACAGACATTAACAGGTAGAGGTCTACCCTTCCCTACTCCCACACAGACATTAACAGGTAGAGGTCTACCCTTCCCTACTCCCACACAGACATTAACAGGTAGAGGTCTACCCTTCCCTACTCCCACACAGACATTAACAGGTAGAGGTCTACCCTTCCGTACTCCCACACAGACATCAACAGGTAGAGGTCTACCCTTCCGTACTCCCACACAGACATTAACAGGTAGAGGTCTACCCTTCCCTACTCTCACACAGACATTAACAGGTAGAGGTCTACCCTTCCCTACTCCAACACAGACATTAACAGGTAGAGGTCTACCCTTCCCTATTCCCACACAGACATTAACAGGTAGAGGTCTACCTTTCCCTACCCCCACACAGACATTAACAGGTAGAGGTCTACCCTTCCCTACTACCACACAGACATTAACAGGTAGAGGTCTACCCTTCCCTACTCCCACACAGACATTAACAGGTAGAGGTCTACCCTTCCCTACTCCCACACAGACATTAACAGGTAGAGGTCTACCCTTCCCTATTCCCACACAGACATTAACAGGTAGAGGTCTACCTTTCCCTACCCCCACACAGACATTAACAGGTAGAGGTCTACCCTTCCCTACTACCACACAGACATTAACAGGTAGAGGTCTACCCTTCCCTATTCCCACACAGACATTAACAGGTAGAGGTCTACCCTTCCCTATTCCCACACAGACATTAACAGGTAGAGGTCTACCCTTCCCTATTCCCACACAGACATTAACAGGTAGAGGTCTACATTTCCCTACCCCCACAAAGACATTAACAGGTAGAGGTCTACCCTTCCCTACTACCACACAGACATTAACAGGTAGAGGTCTACCCTTCCCTACTACCACACAGACATTAACAGGTAGAGGTCTACCCTTCCCTACTCCCACACAGACATTAAAAGGTAGAGGTCTACCCTTCCCTACTCCCAGGCCTCACAGACATGTAAAAGAAATACGTCTACCCTTGCATGCCTCAGTCCTCACAGGAGGATCCTAGTATATACATGACAGCAAGCCATGAACATTTCTATAGGTCCAGACACCATGTTGGTTTAAAGATGACAACAAAAACTGGCTATCAAAAAAACAATTAGATAGTAATTCCCCCAGACCTCTTCTGGTAACAACTTCTGCCATGTCATATCTATACACTGAGAACTGAAATGACAACCTGGGCTAATATGGCACTTAACATGTAGTCAATGTTCTAGAGGACGCACTGGTTATCTATACCACAAACCAATGGCCAAGCAACATAGGTCTTCACTAGAGACCCAAGTCATGTGTTTATATCAAACACATAATGACAGTTGATTTTTCTCTTTGTACCTTTCCAATTTAAAAATTCATTCTATGTTGAAGAAGCTCTTCTTCAGTCTTTTGAAAAGACTTTCTTTTTTTGTTTTTCATATTTTTTTTTTTTTTTTTTGGGACAGTGGTCTTGGTGGGAGAGGAAGCAGTTAAAATTTAATTATTTTGATTCCAACATTTAACTAAATGGAAAAGAAATAATAAAACTTCAAAATTAATTTTCTCATCATGGAAACAGTGAGACAAAACAAAGCTACTTATTAACATATTGTAATGTATTGTAAATGTAATGATTTTCGTTTTCTCTGTTACAATTGTTTGATGTTTTTCAATCTTCAATAGATTTGTGGTGATGGGGACTTTTGCCCTTTACCTATTTCCATCATACCAAAATTAGTTGGGTTTGATTGAGAAATGGAAAAACAACATGGTTATTGTAACTACAAGTAGTTACACATCAGCAACAACAACAATAAATCAAAACAATACATCGTACAACGGATTTACTCCCTGAATTTTACCATCTTGTGTCAGAACCAGAATATCTTTTTTTCAGCCATGTCAAATTTACACCATTGAAGAACAGGAAATAACTTTACATGATGTTGCACTCTCACCATCTAAATTAATCAGTTCCAAAAATAGCAAAAATTGACATGCTGGCAGACAAAAAAACTATGTTTTATAATCACACCAGGACACTGAAAATGTTGACCACATTTATGATAACAAAAACAAAACAGTGAATAAATGATTGACCTGGAGATAATGACTGAATGACCTTGAGGTAATGACTGAATGACCTTGAGGTAATGACAAATTGACCTTGACATAATAACCAACATTGAAATAAGGACTAATTGACTATGAGATAATGACTGATTGACCTCGAAATAATGACTGATTGACCTCGATATAAAAATTAACCTTTAAATAATGACTAACCTTGACATAATGACTGAATGACCTTGAGATAATGACTTATTGACCCTGAGATAATAACTGGTTGACCTTGAGATAATGACTAAGTAACCATGAGGAACCACTTACCTGTTCTGATGATGGTACAGTATAGTCTGATTCCCTTCCATGTCAACAATATATTTGGTGCCAAGGTCGATTTCTGTAACGAAAAAAATTTTTTTTAATAAAGTATAAAACCATCTATCAAGTAAATATGATACAGAACTTATTTAACATTTTGTAATATTTTCTATACCAGTGTTATTGTTTCCTCATACAAATTTCCTTTATTTGCTTATAGACAAACTCTGTATCTATAATGGGGACATGATAGTTCAGCAGATTAGAATGTTGACCAACAAAACTTCAGGCAGAGATCCAGAAAAAAGGGTTTGATGTTTCCTTCCAATGATGGGTTTGTATTTCTCAAGAAGCTAAGAAATGGACTGGTCTGTGTTCTCCTGGTTGTGTCCTTGGGCAAGACACTTTTTCTTAATGCACTTGATGACATGTGTTGGGCCTCCTGCATGTTGTTCAGCAAGGTTGCCACCAGCTACTACAAGGAGATCCCACCTCAACATGACCCTGTAGGCTGTTCGTGGGGAAACAAACCCAACAAACAAAACTGTCTCTGTTTTTCTAATATCTCTCAATGATTGTAAAAGTAGATCTAAAACACCTTTCTAAAAGGGAAACTTCAATGAATTCAAGCAAAATTTGAATATTGATCTGTTTATCAAGTGACACAAACCTAGTATTCGCCAGCAGTGTGTGTAGACATATATGGCGACAAAGTTACTGACAATATGTAGTTATAAATAGGTTGTATATTATAGGGATAACCTAAAAGATCTTTGTCACTAGCAAATGATCAATTGATGTATGACTATTAGAAAATCTCTCTGAAAACTCTAGTGATCCAAGACAACACCTGCTGTGTTTTATTGTTCCATAGGAACATGACGGCAGCAAACTTGCGTCACAGTTGCAGCAATCCAGGTATGTACAATAAAATATTAATAAAGTAGTACACCTCCAACTACACTACCTAACCCAACCATTAACAGCCATTTCCATATATGGTATAAACCTTGTTAAGTAAGAAATGTTGCCATATTTCTTTTAATCTTTCTCTTTTTTTCCTTAAACTGCTACCAGTAATCATCAATGACTTCAGCAAACACTCTAATCTACCAACGCAATAAAATGTCATAATGCCTGAAATATATGTATTAGTCTCAACCATGGAAATCATTAATACAATTATCCTACCCACCAATACATAGGTATATACATATTTCCTATACACCTCCCCCCTCTCCTCCACCAATAGGTATATACATATTTCCTATACACCTCCCCCCTCTCCTCCACCAATAGGTATATACATATTTCCTATACACCTCCCTCTCCTCCACCAATAGGTATATACATACTTCCTATACACCCCCTCCTCTCCTCCACCAATAGGTATATACATATTTCCTATACACCTCCCCCCTCTCCTCCACCAATAGGTATATACATATTTCCTATACACTTCCTCCCTCTCCTCCACCAATAGGTATATACATATTTCCTGTACACCTCCCCCCTCTCCTCCACCAATAGGTATATACATATTTCCTATACACCTCCCTCTCCTCCACCAATAGGTATATACATACTTCCTATACACCTCCCCCCTCTCCTCCACCAATAGGTATATACATATTCCTATACACCTCCCTCTCCTCCACCAATAGGTATATACATATTTCCTATACACCTCCCCCCTCTCCTCCACCAATAGGTATATACATACTTCCTATACACCCCCTCCTCTCCTCCACCAATAGGTATATACATACTTCCTATACACCCCCCTCTCCTCCACCAATAATTATATACATATTTCCTGTACACCTCCCCCCTCTACTCCACCAATAGGTATATACATATTTCCTATACACCTCCCCCCTCTCCTCCACCAATAGGTATATACATACTTCCTATACACCTCCCCCCTCTCCTCCACCAATAGGTATATACATATTTCCTATACACCTCCCTCTCCTCCACCAATAGGTATATACATATTTCCTATACACCTCCCCCCTCTCCTCATCCAATAGGTATATACATACTTCCTATACACCCCCCTCTCCTCCACCAATAATTATATACATATTTCCTGTACACCTCCCCCCTCTCCTCCACCAATAGGTATATACATATTTCCTATACACCTCCCCCCTCTCCTCCACCAATAGGTATATACATACTTCCTATACACCTCCCCCCTCTCCTCCACCAATAGGTATATACATATTTCCTATACACCTCCCTCTCCTCCACCAATAGGTATATACATATTTCCTATACACCTCCCTCTCCTCCACCAATAGGTATATACATACTTCCTATACACCTCCCCCCTCTCCTCCACCAATAGGTATATACATATTTCCTATACACTTCCTCCCTCTCCTCCACCAATAGGTATATACATACTTCCTATACACCTCCCCCCTCTCCTCCACCAATTGGTATATACATATTTCCTATACACCTCCCCCCTCTCCTCCACCAATAGGTATATACATATTTCCTATACACCTCCCTCTCCTCCACCAATAGGTATATACATATTTCCTATACACCTCCCCCCTCTCCTCATCCAATAGGTATATACATACTTCCTATACACCCCCTCCTCTCCTCCACCAATAGGTATATACATACTTCCTATACACCCCCTCCTCTCCTCCACCAATAGGTATATACATATTTCCTATACACCTCCTCCCTCTCCTCCACCAATAGGTATATACATATTTCCTATACACCCCCCTCTCCTCCACCAATAGGTATATACATATTTCCTATACACTTCCTCCCTCTCCTCCACCAATAGGTATATACATATTTCCTATACACCTCCCCCTCTCCTCCACCAATAGGTATATACATACCTCCTATACACCCCCTCCTCTCCTCCACCAATAGGTATATACATACTTCCTATACACTCCCTCCTCTCCTCCACCAATAGGTATATACATACTTCCTATACACCTCCTCCCTCTCCTCCACCAATAGGTATATACATATTTCCTATACACCTCCTCCCTCTCCTCCACCAATAGGTATATACATACTTCCTATACACCCCCTCCTCTCCTCCACCAATAGGTATATACATATTTCCTATACACCTCCCCCCTCTCCTCCACCAATAGGTATATACATATTTCCTATTATACACCCCCCTCTCCTCCACCAATAGGTATATACATACTTCCTATACACCTCCTCCCTCTCCTCCACCAATAGGTATATACATATTTCCTATACACCTCCCCCCTCTCCTCCACCAATAGGTATATACATATTTCCTATACACCTCCCCCCTCTCCTCCACCAATAGGTATATACATATTTCCTATACACCTCCCCCCACTCCTCCACCAATAGGTATAGACATACTTCCTTATCACCCCCCCCTCCATAACCAATACAAATTTTCATATTTCCTATACACACCCAACCCCCTCCTCTCCACCATCACATTATACATACTTGTACACAATGCCTGCTGCTGCCCAACAACACAGTAATAAAACAATACACTGCCCATATCCTTCACCAATCTAAGGAAGAATCAAACATCATGGGACCCATTTATTCTAAAATAATGCTGGAATCACAATAAGAGCATGCCCTAGAATTCGAAAGAGTAGTAAGGTCCTGCACGCCTGCTCACAATCCAAAAATGTCCAACCACCAGTAGGCACTGTATTGATTTTACGGTACCAATTCCCCTTACAAGAACCCTGTTGTGTTTCCAAAATTCATTCACTTATTCAGTAAAATATTCTTCCTGGGAGGAATTGATTGACAATTCTAACTTAATCTTCCATCTCTTGGAGGTTTCCAAATACAAAAGATTCCATCGATACTGTCCATGTACATCTCTAGCCGTTCTATCTATAACATTGAAAACAAGCATCCCATGAAAAAGTGTTATAAATACTGAGACAGTTTGGAAATAACTTAATATACCTGTGCTGGGGGTCTACATGAGAAAACATTCCAATATTTACAACACACCATATAGCTAGTGCTTTTCATTAGGTCAAAATTTCACAACTTAAAACTTGAATTGTATTACGACGCATTGAAATTCCATGATCTGAATGCAAATGGACATCTAATACACACAGTTCTCATTATTTCACAGACTGAATTTTCGTGATTATGATAATGTACCGTAACAGACTGTAGGTAATGACATCCATTGCAGAAGAATGGGCAGCTGGAGACATCATCTAGTTCTTAATTTGTACTGAAAGGTTCTTAACTTTTGTGTCTTTTGTGCAATCTTTAAATTCCTTGCAACGGATCCCAAGATTTAGATATTTAATTAATTAAACTTCAATGTGTAATTGAATCAATTCTGTAATTATCACTGAAAAAAATCTAGCATTAATATGAAAAAATGGCCTGTAATTGATGAAAGTATTAACAGTGTGCCTGACACTGTTGTATCATTACATCAAATCATTTACAAATCACCAAATGATATCACAAAAGCCAATCAACCTTCTCCCGTAATAAATTCATATTGTCGCAATGGTAATATGTGCGAGTATTTGTCACTTTGATATAGAAATTCATTAGATAAGCCTTTTGATGTGCTTTCCCTGTAGAGCTACAACTTGTCCAGACATACGTCAGCCAACACAATAAACTGTACCATCACAAATTACATAAATTGATCGAAAAAGTGTCATGAATCATTCTGCATTGGTACTAAGTGTGTTCCAGTGGAAGCAACGTACTCGGGACGTATAGGAAATCTGATACTGCAGCAACAGTGTGTAGAGAAATATGAACAAATTTTTAATACGGGTGTGCAATTCAAGGAAAAGTGCACTGGGTGTATGTTACTCACCTTTCTTGTATTGCATCAATCAATAATCTAAGTATACCAACATTCTACATTTATACCCGAATTCCAACATCTTGTCACAAATATTGTTCAATTACATAAAAGTACACATAACTATTGTTATACCCGAATTCCAACATCTTGTCACAAATATTGTTCAGTTACATAAAAGTACACATAACTATTGTTATACCCGAATTCCAACATCTTGTCACAAATATTGTTCA